GTTGTTCCCTTTGTCACCGGTATGTTACTTGCCCGAGATTTGATCGTCGGTATCCAATACCTAGTTCAATCTCGTTACCGGTAAGTCTCTTTACTCGTTCCGTAATGCATCATCCCGTAACCAACTCATTTGGTCACATTGCTTGCAAGGCTTATAATGATGTGCATTACCGAGAGGGCCCAGAGATACCTCTCCGACAATCGGAGTGACAAAACCTAATCTCGAAATACACCAACTCAACATGTACCTTCAGAGACACCTGTAGTACTCCTTTATAATAACCCAGTTACGTTGTGACGTTTGGTAGTACCCAAAGTGTTCCTCCGGTAAACGGGAGTTGCATATTTCTCATAGTTACAGGAACCTGTATAAGTCATGAAGAAAGCAATAGCAGTATACTAAACGATCAAGTGCTAGGCTAACGGAATGGGTCATGTCAATCACATCATTCTTCTAATGATGTGATCCCATTAATCAAATGACAACACATGTCTATGGTTAGGAAACATAACCATCTTTGATTAATGAGCTAGTCAAGTAGAGGCATACTAGTGACTATATGTTTGTCTATGTATTCACACATGTATCATGTTTCCGGTTAATACAATTCTAGCATGAATAATAAACATTTATCATGATATGAGGAAATAAATAATAACTTTATTATTGCCTCTAGGGCATATTTCCTTCAAAGAAGTCCCATCATTTCCTTCCCTACCGATTGTTATCCCCCCTTTTTAGGGATCTTGATCTTATCCCTTCGGGATATGATCTTATTCCTTCTAAGGGGGGATCTTGGTGCGCCTTGACCAGGGGTGTGTGGCCTTGCCCCCACTACCAACGTTCATGTGGGTCCCCCATGCTGGTGGGCCCCACTCCAGAACCTTCTAGAACCTTCCCCGTACAATATCGAAAAATCCCGAACATTTTCCGGTGGCCAAAATAGGACTTCCCATATATAAATCTTTACCTCCGGACCATTCCGGAACTCCTTGTGACATCCGGGACTCCGAACAACATTCGGTAACCACATACAAACTTCCTTTATAACCCTAGCGTCATCGAACCTTAAGTGTGTAGACCCTACGGGTTCGGGAGACACGTAGACATGACCGAGATGTTCTCCGGTCAATAACCAACAGCGGGATCTGGATACCCATGTTGGCTCCCACATGTTCCACGATGATCTCATCGGATGAACCACGATGTCGAGGATTCAATCAATCCCGTATTCAATTCCCTTTGTCTAGCGGTATAATACTTGCCCGAGATTCGATCGTCGGTATGTCGATACCTTGTTCAATCTTGTTACCGGCAAGTCTCTTTACTCGTTCCGTAACACATCATCCCGTGATCAACCCCTTGGTCACATTGTGCACATTATGATGATGTCCTACCGAGTGGGCCCAGAGATACCTCTCCGTTTACACGGAGTGACAAATCCCAGTCTCGATTCGTGCCAACCCAACAGACACTTTCGGAGATACTTGTAGTGCACCTTTATAGCCACCCAGTTACGTTGTGACGTTTGGTACACCCAAAGCATTCCTACGGTATCCGGGAGTTGCACAATCTCATGGTCTAAGGAAATGATACTTGACATTAGAAAAGCTTTAGCATACGAACTACGATCTTTGTGCTAGGCTTAGGATTGGGTCTTGTCCATCACATCATTCTCCTAATGATGTGATCCTGTTATCAACGACATCCAATGTCCATGGCCAGGAAACCGTAACCATCTATTGATCAACGAGCTAGTCAACTAGAGGCTTACTAGGGACATTGTGTTGTCTATGTATCCACACATGTATCTGAGTTTCCTATCAATACAATTATAGCATGGATAATAAACGATTATCATGAACAAGGAAATATAATGATAACTAATTTATTATTGCCTCTAGGGCATATTTCCAACACTATGGACAAACCCTTGGTCATCACAAACTCTCCTTGAAACCAACAAATGGACTCCAAGAAAGCCTATGGACAAACCCTTCAAATATAACTCAAGGCAACCATTAGTCCATAGAGATTGTCATCAATTACCAAAACCACACATGGGGGCACCACATGTCCTTTCACACGCGTCCACGCTGACAAGGCATGCAGCTCCAAGCTGACTACCTAGCCGCTGCGCAGAAGAGAAAATATAAAGACAAAAAGAAAAAGGGAAAGGAACATGAGAAAACCAAAGAGAAAAGCAAAAAAATGGGCGACCCGTCTCACACATTTTCTTGGCAAAAAGGGCATGCGGGAGACTAGGGTGTGTGTTTCGTTATTTTCCACCCCACAGGAGGTCCCTTGCCATATTTCCTATTCCTCGCTCGTTGCGTCGAACTATCAAAGCAATGCACAGGCGAACCACATGAACAAATTTCGACAGATCAATTGAAGTATAAGTTTTGGTCCTACTACTGAACACAATGACCGCCCTATCCAACCATACTCAAGTCTCTGTTGAACATTGGAGGAGTGTGATCCGAGAGCAATGCAATCGATGGTCTGATTGTATTGATCTAGTGAATAATTTTCCACCGAGTGGGGTGCCAATCATGGAGTATGGTCCAGTCATCCAAGAGCTATACAAGCAACACAACAAAGAGGGCGGCAACAAGGCCTTCACATTGCACCATTACTACAAAGGAACTAGTTGGCAATCAAAAGTGGATCCAAAGGAACTTCAAAACCACAACAAAGATGTCACAGATTAGCATATCCATTGGAGCCGATGACGAGGAGGATGAAAATTCTAGTAAAAGACTAGATGGTATAAAGATTACAAAAGGCCGATGACGGGAATGTTTGTGTAATGATTGAGACCAAGAAAGATTTAACACTTACGCAAAGAAGATAAGGCGGCGAGATAGAATAAAGTCAAGTTCATGAGGATTAGAAGTGAAGGACAAAGTTGGCGGCTCAAGCAAATATGGTGGAAGAAGAGTAGCGTAGGCTTTCACTTGAGGAGGAGATGCTCGCAAAAGAGAACAAGGTCGACGAGTATACTATCATTTTCACGGACCCGGGCAAGATGAATGCCATGGCAAGGAAGTATTGGGAGCTCACTCATGTGGAGATCTTGTTCCAAAAGGAGGTTGGCCGACGTGGTGGTGGTGGTGATGGTGGTGTCCGTGGGGGAGATGGTGGTGGTTGTGAAGGAGATGGTGGTGGCAGCTGGGTGATGGTGGTTTCTTTGGTTGTGATGATGAGCACGAAAGTTCTTCAATTCATGTATGCATTTGGCAAGGCTTGGTCCATAAAACAAGATTTGGCATTTTTTGGGTTTCTGGATCAAACTGGATCGATGCGGTGGCTTTTGGATAAGTTATATGCATGTTTTAGTTTGAATTGTTCGACTGGATTAGCTTTATGTATGTTATGGTTGATTTCTTGCGTATGTTGAATTTGAGTCATTCAAATGATTGACGAAATACCATCAATTTCTTGAAATGTATGTGCCAAAGGGATAAAGGAATTAGTCAAAAAATGTTTAGGGAGTTAAATATGGGGATTCAGTTAGGTTTGGCCACTATTTAACTCCTCAAAGTTTAGAGAGTTAAGTTGGAGGATGATTTAAGGAGTTAAAGTATAGGGGATCAGCAAGAGATGCTGTAAGGATTGGCTTGGCTTGAAAGTCTTGATACATCTCTTTGGGTGGCAAAGCCTTCCATCGAGCAACATTGGATCGACATGTCAAGCGATAATAAACCAAAATGAAGTGACATGCCTTCTATCACCAATCTTATTTGTTGGATCATTTCAAATGAGAGAAATTCACAGATGATCAATAGCTAGCCTGCGCAGCATACCCCTCTACTCCACATCATCAAGAACTTTTTTAACTCTTGTGAAACTGTGATTATTTCCAAGAAATAGTCATCTTACAAGTCATGGCATTCTTAATGCCAAGGTTTTAGTATTTAAATACCTGCTCTCCACATCTTTATTTTCTAATCGACAAATGTTTCCTTTGACGATACTTCTCGGTTTAATTTTGTTGCTCTTCACGTGATATTCATACAATACGATGGTATTTTGTTCCCATGAGTGTGATTTTAAAATTACTTTGCATTGAAGAATAGCCTAAGAGTCCCTGCAAAAAAAATTCATAGCCTAAGAGGTTTTTACATCACCCTTTCATTGCATCAAATTAAATAATAACAGTATTAGGTCAATAAGATCAATCATTTCATTCATTATCTTGACGACTTCGGCGCAAATAGGGTTGAACATCACATGGTTACACCTGCTTGAGTGGCAAAGAATATATCGTGTCTATTAGTCCATGGGCTTAGCCTTATGCAATTTTGGTGCTTGTTTGCCGTGGCGATGTAGTTGACCTTGGTTTTCCAGGCTATAGCGCCCAATGCCATGGTCATGTTATCAAGGTTTTAAATGCATGGACGTTCACCTTCACCATGTTGCCAGGTGGAAGATCCCATTCATCTCATTTTGATCTAGAGCGGTGTTGGGTGCCTTCTCATAGTTCACATCAGGCTGATCTAGACAGTTTTCAAACATTTCAACATCGACATGTTAGCGTCATTCCCACTGAATGAACTACAAATCAAGGCTACCTGAAGTTTCGTAGACAACCCCTGCAACCATCATATGATTATGACTCTCTGCGGCTCAGCCTCTTCGAGGTGTTCATAGGGATAGGGTCTCCGTGCGTGTTCATAGAGCTGAGTGTATGCGCGTATATATGAACGCCTAGACCTGTACCATGTTCTAAAAAAAAGAATATGATTCTATCTATCTCTCTATGACCCTCTTCTAGCTCTTTTTTTCCTTTGTTAGAATTGTAGCTCTGCTATGTGGACCGTGGAAGACCAGTTACCTGAATCAGGCCAGGAAATGGTCCACGAAAGCCCAACCAAAGCCATCTCCCACCCGACCTGTTGCGCCGGCCGCCGGGAGGAGAGACACGCCGCCGTCTCGCCTCTTTCCCCTCGCAAACCATAGCCCCAGCGATCAAGAGTCGGAGGTGGAAGAGGAAGATGTCGAAGTCGTGCAAGGGGCTAGCCATGGAGCTCGTCAAGTGCCTCAGCGAGACCGACTGCGTCAAGGTCAGCCCCCCCTCCCCCCTCTCTCGCCCCCTTCGTCCCCCGCGCCTCCCCGTGCCGCCGCCGCCGCCGCCCCCGTCCCCTTGGTTCGATCCGGTTTGGCATGGTTCGGTGTATGAATACTAAGGAAATCAGTAGACGATCTCGGGCGCTGCGCCGTCGTTGTAGTCGTGGATGCTCTGTGCGAGATGGCGGCACTGCTCAACCCATCTGCCCTTCCCTGATGCAGGTGCAGAAGAGGCCGTACAAGGAGTGCGCCGGGGAGAAGGCGCCCAACATCACCAGCGAGTGCGTCGGCCTGCGGGAGACCTACTTCAACTGCAAAAGGGGCCAGGCATGTCTTCAATCTCTCGCTGTGAATCAGCCACACCAGTTGCGATCCATGTTCCGTTGTGCAATAGCTATATACTGGTTCCCCCTTTGATGATTTTGCTTGCCATCGTTGTTGTTCTGTCGCGCTGTTAGATATTAATATTATGTGTGGATGTGAGTAGCTTGGTGAATCTATAGACGATGAGCTTCTCTGCGATTTATTGTGAATCCGGCGTCCAGCACTTGTTAGGTACTTGAGATGGTACTTGGTCCACTCCCTTGTGGTCGCAACTTTGTTAATTGATGTATTCTTATGAACTGGCTTCTGGTGGTACAGTTCATATAGCTGGCGGATGACCCCCAATTGAACACGTTTGGGGCCTGCCCCAATGCCTGTATTAATGCTCTTGCAACCAACGGCCAGGGGTGCGCTACTGCCATTACTTAGTTCATATGCTACAGATCGATACAACAATGCCGATGCGAATATCTGTGGTGTATAATAGGTTAAGTTTTATTTGTGTCTGTTCTGTATGTCCAAGATTTCAGAGTGAAGGTGAATTTTACACGTCGATAGGTATGCTTTGTTGATTTTACTTTAAATCAAGATATGAGATTCTTTAACCAGATATGCAGGGTCGAGCAAGCTAATAATACCTACAAAGTTATTTCATTAGAAGCTCCTTCCTTTGAACTGTAATGTACAAGCATTTAAATAATGGGCCCTTTTCATTGTTGATGCATTAGTTTAGTATCTATGCATCATACAGCTTATAAGAGACTATATTTTAGGCCGACAAACAGGTTGTTCACAAAAGATAGTAGGCAATGTTAGGAAATAATTGCAACTATAAGCAGCAATCAAAATGTTTTTTCCTTTTCACCTTGCTTGTACAGTCTGAAAAGTAGATCTTGGACTCGCGGTCAGAATTATAATCTCTCTGTAACTACTCTTTAAACCACATATCTTTTAAATATCGTTTAAATACCTGTTATCGTAGATTAAAGGACCAGATTTAGCTAGAAATGCCTGTAGCACCTGGTCCTTTCTTGTTTGATGTATACTTTTTGTAGTATCTATGCATCTTATACAAGTTATAAGAGACTAGTATTTCTTTGTCCTAGAACAAGCTGTGCACAAAAGACGGGTGAGAGGAAAAAATTACAATTCTATGGACAGTTAAAGGCAAAAAAAAACTTTTTTCCCTTTCACCTTGCTTATACAATAAGAAGAGCAGGGGCATGTTTGGTTGAATACCAGAACACACCACGCGGATGGTGCGGCTGCGCCGCAGGTGAGCCGAACGAAATCAAAGCCTGACTTTTGGCATGATGTGGCGTCCAAAATGAACTAGTGATGCCTAAGCAAGGCGCGGCACACCACAACTCTGGTTATAGCAAACACCAGCTAAGGTTAGGTGTCAGGGGGTGTGGCGAGCTGTGGCATGTTGTGGTAACGAACCAAACAGGCGCTAAGATCTGTGATTGGTGGTCAGAATTGGAATCTCTCTGTAACTACTCCTGTACGCTGCATATCTTGAAATATCCATCATTGTAGATTAAAGGAGCAGATTTAGCTACAAAAGGCTGTAGTATGATAACTTGAGTACATGAAGTCAATAGATGATACATGTATCATGTATTTGTTTTCCTTAATCCATAGTAGTTTGATGCTTTCTTTCAAATTCCATTTCTATGTAGTGCTTCAAATATTTCATCGTTGATTCATATCGAGCTTCTGTGTGAATTGTGGATAATAGCAACACCTCTCGTTAACAGCTCATTTCATTTCTTCATATACAGATATAAGCATATATTCAATTGCCCCACATTTATGGTAACCCATTGTCCTTTGGTGTATAAGTTATGAATGCGACATACAATCTACTTTAAGAACATCCATTACTATTGCATTAGATATGAATGCTTGTCGCTCTATCCCTCCTTTTTAGACGGCTATCAATTCCGTTGTTCGATATGCTTAAATTCCTTTGGTTGATTCTTGATTTGCTATAAATTTGATTGTTGTTCTGTTTAGGCCTTTTGTACTCCTTTTTGTTACTCAAGTTCGCAAGTGGAAAATTGCTAATTTTGTTACTCGCTGCAACAGGTTGACATGCGAGCCCGGATACGTGGGAACAAGGGGTATTGATGGTGTGCATGTGAACTCCCTTATCCAGCTGAAACTTGTTAGCCGAATTGTCACTACAAGACATCTTGCGTTCTATATATGCTTTTGATCTCCAATAGAATCATATGTATTTTTTTCCCTCGCGATAGCGTAGAAGAACCAACTCAGCACACGAGTAGATTCAGTCGATGAGAGGGTGCATCGTCTTGTGGAGAAAAGAAATGTTTGATCATAATGCAGTTTGTCTGCAATTTTCTGATATGGAACAGCAGAACTATCGCCAAGCATGTGAGTAGTTTTCACTGTGATGTGAGGTGTGTCTCTATGTTGCCGTCTGACCATTTTTGTTCTGGAACTACTCAGAAAGAAGAACTATTTAAAATCTTGGGCAGCTAAGCTGCTTCTTTTCTTAACTGGGAAGCAAGTTGGCTACTAGCTTGAGATGGAAATTTCACTTGTAGTGAGTGCCTCCCTTGTTAGAATAGGCCATGGTCGTCTTTACACGATGGAGCCACTCTCCATCGCTCTGTTGGAATGACCTTCTTTGGAAGCAGGTTGCATTTTCCTCGAGATGTATGACTCGCTGCATTGTACAGTATGCCCAGCCTACTGATGCCGACTGTAGCAGTGTCGTATTGCGTTATCGCGTGGCCTATGCTGGTCGTTGATTCGTAGGATTGAATCTGATAGGAATGTTTTTTTTGGCAGAATTCGTTTGTAAGTAAAAGGGACCAAAACGAATTTTACTTACAAACGAATTTGTTGCAAGTATTTCTCTGTCCTTTATAGAAAGTTTTTTCTCAGGTTTTTTACAGCATTTGGTGCTCCTTTTTGTGGTCGAGGAAGCCCTTTCTTACCTGAAAGCCAGATCCGTGAGTCCTAAGATAGGGGGTTCCTTTTCCATTGGCCATCACATCGATGTGATCACCCTGGGAGTAGTACTAGTATCTCATTTTTCCTCTTCCCGATTGCCGTGATGGAAGCCTGTGCCCTGCCCGGGGAGAAGAGAAAAAAGGAGCTGGCTAGTGCTACTCGGGATCGAAGCTAATGAACCAGCTATGATTAGACCGGATCGGACGTCGATCCCGACGATGCTGATCGAGTCCTCTGACCTTTTGCGCCGATGCGGTGCGTGGCGTCCCAATGCCGCAAAGTGGATTCTGACGTTTCAGGCGCAAGTCACCGGCAGATCTCCCTTGTGTCAGTCACAAGGGATCGGATAGCCTAGGGATCTCTTAATCCCTCAGTGGATCCTAATATATTTTTACCGCAAACTAAAACATTGCATGTGCATTACAATAGGATATAAATATTCTAGTACGTTAGCGTATGATTTACCTGTCAATAATAATGTGATTGTGTAAATAAATGTTCACCAAACTTTGATCGTGATAATAAATCTTATATTTTGTTTAGAAATTTGGTAAGTAAATTAAAGTGAAATTGCTTCAGAATGTAAGTAAATTAAAATGATTTATTATCACATAGATGGAAAGTTGGGCGAAGGGGTGGTGGAAACAAAGGTGAAATGAAACCTTATGTTCTTTTTAAGTAGTAGAGAAATGTAGTAGTAACTACATTTATGAGTTGGTGCTAGTCAAATATTATTTCAGAGTTTGTAACTATACATAGGATCCTTTGATTCAAGGCATTTTCAGGATTAGAATCCTTAAGAATTTTTTGATTTATACTATTGAATCTTGTGCTACTAGTAATTTTCCCTAAATATTCCTCAGTGCTACATTCCACAGGTATCCATTCCTCACTAAACTAAACGCGATGGTAGAATGGGCACCCATGCTTGATATCCCAAAATTTCAGAATTTTTGAAATTTCAGAGTATTTTTTTAATGCTATATTCATATAGGGGTGTGTGGGGCACCCGAGAGCTCACATGCATTTCCCATAATTCGCAGTCTTATGTTTCCGCATTATTAGATATATATATAATTTCTATGGGGGAGTTCACCGATTTTAATGCAATAGTTGTGAAAATTAACATGATAATTTTTACTATGATGAAATAAGTAAAAATGCGTTCATTTCGATAAACAGACACCGTATAATGTGTACGAGTACCATCTAATATTGAATTATTGGAGGTACTAACCGTGGTTATTCGGTGCGTATACTATGTAAAGACATTTTTGAATCGAATGCAGCATAACCGGTGGATAGCCGTGATCGGATTGAGTACTAGAGTATATACTGAATAAAACGGAGCTTAAACCCGAGGGGCGGCTAGCTGCTCAAGTAGAGAAGATACCCGATCGATGGAGCTAATTATGCTGCTACTCAGTACTGTACTCAGCAGCCACTGACTGCCCGGTGTTGTAGCTCCGTGCTTGCTGGTGCAGCTGCAGCGAGCGAGCAGTGCGGCTCGCTCGCCTGACAGCTCGGTTCGAACCAACGCGCCCACCTACCGACAAACCCGGTAGCCACTTAACTCTACTTAATCATGACAGGCCCTCACTGACTTAGTAGCTCACTCTGCCGTCACCCTTCCTTGACACTCGCACTACTACTTTGATGGTAAAGCTTGACTACTATGCATGCATGCTTGAGCCCTACGTCTAAGGCTCTCCCTAATGTTGACAACTTGATAAACGTGATGGTTGTGTTGTCACGTATGCTGACCATGTTCAGACGAAAATTCAGATAGGAACTGGCAAACGGGAGTGCACACCGGAAGGGAAGGACGCCGTGTGTTTTTTTCTAGAGGGGAAGGGCGCCGTAGTTGACCAGCAACTGCCTGGTGCCTTCGAGACTCTGAAATCTAGATGTTTCTTTCTTCATAATATGCCTGTCATGCGTGTGCAGCTGTGCATACACATTCTGCACATGTATACTTCACAGGCGAATTTTTGAAACCGGGGTTAAAAAGGACTCAGTCCATTTAATTAAGAAAATGAGAATTGTTTGGCTAATTACGAAAAACCATGCAAAAATCGGAACAACACGCCCACAGAGGCCACCGCTGGCCGACCTGGCTGCCCACAATACTCACAAACATCACCGAATAAAAGAAA